ACCAGAGGTCTCCAAACTTGGTAAGTGTTTAAGACTTGTGGACTTCCAAGACCCAGAATTCCCCAGCTAACATGACTGGAGGAAGAATTCTGAAGTCCACAAAGCTGTCAAGTTTGAAGATCCCTGGCCTGCATCGTCGTAAATGGGTTTGAGGGCAGGTTTACCCAGTTCAACACCCTTTTCCTTCACGCAGCCAAGGAGAAACTCACCACCACAAACAAAAGGCAATAGTCCCATTGAGCCCAAGCATCCCCTAGGAAGCTGCCTGCTGCCAATGAACCAAGAGGAGGCATTTAACAATTACTGTCCCGGCCCCACCCCCCCCGCTTCTCTTCCACTTCTTGTGACCAGGATTATTTATCCAGGTTAATCCCCAGCTTCCCTCTGGCCCCCCCCCCCCCCCAGTCAATATATACAGGAACCATTGGGGGTTCAACTCACAGAGTAAGTATGCAACCCATCCTGGGAGGAAAACCACTGGCAGGGCTGGACTCCGGTTCCACCTTCCTCTCCTCCATGGCTTCTTTCTCTGTCCCCCCCCCCAAAACCCCCCCCCCCCCCCCCCCCCCCCCCTTAAAGGCCTCCATCCAGTGTGGCTCCCCTCCCCCCGAACCAATTTTCCCTGCAGCCAAAATCTCTAAAAGCCCCGAGTCTCTCCACTGCCTCGAACCCCATTCATTTCCCACGCTTCCCCACGCTCGGGATTTGGGGGTTCGCGTCCCGTTGCCCCCGCCCCACGCGCGTCCGTGGGGAGGGGAGGGGGGGGTAGAGGCTGCGGCACAGCCGGCGGGCTGCAGAGCCAGAGGAACCCCTCGCCCGTCCCGTCCCGTCCCGTCCTCCCCGGGGCTTGGCTTCTCCCGCCCTCGCCCGTCCCCGCCGACCCACCCGCGGACTCGCCGGTGTTGATCCAGTCCGGGTTGGCCAGGCTGGCGATGGCGAAGATATCGGCGGCCAGAAAGAGGCATCCTGAGATGATGGTCAATTTGTCCATGTCCTCCGGCTCCGGCCACGGCCCGGTTTCCCACAGGCGGGGCCCGGGCCGGGGGCTCCTCACAACCGCGGCTCCATGGCTCGGCGCGGCCTCCGACCCTTCGCGCCGCCGCCTGGCCTGGCCTGACCGAGGCCGCCGCCGCCGCCCCCTTCGTCCCTCACCGCCGTCCTCAGGTAGCCGCTGCGCAGGGGCGACCCTCCCCGCCGCCGCCGGGCCCCGATTCGGGACGGCGCCGGAAGCAAAACCCAAGCGGGCCCCCGCCGCGGTCGCGTCACCCGGAAGCGAAAGCGCAGGGGTCTCTCGCTCGCTCGCGTGCCCCTCCCCTCCCCTCCCGCAGTGGGCACCAGACGGGGCGGGGCTTCTGGAGGAGACGGCGACGCCGCCGAGCGTCGCCAGGACAGCTTGGGTGGGCGGGGCTTCCTGGCCGAGGCGGGGTTTGGAGGGCGTGACGGGTGAATCGGGGCGTGGCTTCGGAAATGGCGGGACGGGGTTGGGGAAAGGTGCCTCGTGCTGGTTTTGGGCGCCATTGGAGGGAAGAGGTCGAAGCCGATTTTCCTTCTTTATTGTGAGGGGAGGGGGGGGGGGAAACCCCGATGCTAACTGATGGAAAGATAGAGGAGAAAGCCAAGCCTTCCTAATAATTATTTTTTTTAACTTTATTTGTTTAAAAAAATAAAACAGCTTGCTATTATTATTTATTATTTCACCTAGCACAAAAGACCTTTGGAGGAATTAAATAATGAAACCAAAAGAAAAATAAAATATAATTGCAAAAATAAGGAGGGGGGGGGTTGGACTAGAAGACCTCCAAGTGACAATTCTTCTCCGACCTTGCTATTTAAATCCTGAAATCCACAGAGAAGAAACATATACGTTTGTGTTTATTGGTTTTGTCTTTCTCTTTGGTTTCATTTTTAATGAAATGTGTTGTATTATGTATTGTATATATATTTTTTAATCTTTAATAAAGTTTATTTTTTTAAATTAAAAAATCCTGAAATCCATTTTAGCAGATTTCTGGCTAACACACACACACACACACAGACACACCTGGTGCTTACCACAACAGCAATGTGGAAACACAATTACCAACAATTATACAACCTGGGTCCAGACCAGGGGCAATTGGCTTAGAAGAGGAGATAAATGTCTGGATATCTATATCCAGTTCTCCCCCACTTAACATACTTTTTTTAATTTCAAACTTGTTTTTATTTTATGTTTTATATACTATGCCGAGTCATTTTTGTCAATGGGACTTCAATAAACACTTTTTAAAATGTGCTAGGGTGCGTGACTTCTTAAAGAGCTATCACATTTGAAAAGTTTTATTTTAGCAATGCTAAAACAACTCTTCCACAAGCGACCCGCAAATCAAAATGCGATTTATTTGCATCCAGTAGTATCAGATGTTTGACAGATAACTGGTATGTTAGACTGCCAACACTAACAGTTCGAAAGCCACAGACTTGTAATGTGTGTGTGTGTATCAATAGGACAGACCCATAACACTGCTGCTACCCTAAACTAATTGCCACATGACATTTATGCCAGTGGTCGGTTGATCCACTGTATTTTTAGACCCATCTGTGCAAATTACAGAGTCTCTGAGAAAGGAGTACTTAACTCCAGCATTTATTCAAAACCCTTAAAAATTGACCCTATAGGATATTCTCTCCACAGCTTGCTGTGCAAAACAATTGCAGTATTGCCGAACCTCGTTTTAGGAAAGAAATAAGGGGGCGTTTTTTTTTTATTATCAGAGTTAAGAGTTTGTGCATTATTTGAAACAGTCTTCCTTCATTTGTGATATTCAATCAAGATCTGCTATCTAAACTACATTCCCTTCATGTAATAATAGTTCAGTGATGGGTGTGAGCCCATCAATGGAATGATCTCCTCCCCCCCCCAATTCCACTTTAGCGACCATACCAGATATTTCAGAAGCTTGTGAAGGCATCTTAAATCTTCCCAGTCCATTTTTTTCTATCTTTATTCATCCCTGAAAATTCCAAAATCCATGGAATTCAAATAACATCAAGATTCTAAACAGTTGCTAGGCATCGCCATCACCTTGCCTACCTTGATGTGATATTTTCACGCTGGTGATCATTTCCACTTTCCATGCAGTCTCTGTATACGTTGGGTTCCAGACAGATTTCTGTTGAGGATTGATCACCATGGATCCCCAAAAGCCAACTTTTAAGAAAGAGTTAACTTTCAAGACATTGCCTTCCCTCAAGCCTTCTATCAGTGGTTCTTCAGCTAGATTATCTGACAGCAAAAGGCCACCTGACCGAGGAAGGCCATTTGACAGAAGGAGATCCTCCACCAGAGAGAGCTCGTCTGACAGAAGGAGATCATCTGTCAGGAGGCCCTCTGAAAGAGAACTGTATTTCAGAAGGAGGTCTTCAGTCGAAAGATCAGTTGACAGAGGAAGGACATTTGACAGACGGAGATCTTCTGACAGAAGGAGATCCTCCACAAGAGAGGGATCATCT